AGTGGGTACAACAATGGGCTCAAACATTGCGAGGGTTGTGGAGATGGCAAGGGACCAGGCAGTGTTTCGTTCTGATGTACATTGGGTTGCTATGGTTGGAACCAATTGGACTGTACCTCACAACCCCAACCATGTGTCTATGAGAAAATTTAAAATTACATACGTCACTCACATTGCATTTCTATTGGACAATGCTGCTTTAGAGCACACTCATTCATTCATTCAACACATGTCTGCTGAGTGCTGACTACATGCCAGACAAGGAGTGACAATTAGAAGGTGAACAAAACCAGGCCCTGTCTTTGGTTTCCTGGGGTAATCAAATAATCACTCAAATAGGTGTCTAATTACAAAGAGAGATAAGTGGTCCGAAAGAAAAGGAGTGGATGTTCTCTGAACCTGATTTGGGCTCAGAGTACATCCAGGTCTTTCCCAAGGAAGCACTGGACTGGGAAGTGACTTGGGAAAGAAGTGAAAGAATGTTCCAAATAGAGACCTAGCATGTACAAAAGTCCTGTGGCTACAATGAACTGGGAGCTTAAAGAATTGAAAGAAGGTTAGTTGGTGAAGCATTGAGAGTGAGGAGGAGGATATCAGGAGCATTCAAGGCCAGGAGCTGGGAGGAGCTGGCAGAGTCCTCAGGCAAACTGAGGCCACAGTGAGGATGGGAAGGCTCTGAAGCACCTTAGCCCTGGGATGAGGGGGATTAGCGAAGGAGGGATGGTTAGCTAAAGAGGGCAAAGAGAGTTCCTCCACAATGTGGAAGGGAAAGGGGTGCAGAGGGAGCCTCTGGTGCAATGTATTAAGGCTCTTCCATCTCCTACCCCCAGGAGACCTAAGTCAGTGTCAATCTCCTCCTTCCCCTCCCTCCTCACTGCCCCCATCCAAGCCTGAATGTTCCGAGGAGTTTTTAGAATCTCCTTCTTCTATCTCCGTAGCCCTTCTCAGGCCACCACCACTTGGGCCTCTCAGCCTCCTGGCTGTCATGCCTTCCATACCCCTCCACACTGCAGCCAGAGCTAACCTGTAAACCCAACTCATTGCCATCAAATCGGTTCTAACTCACAGTGACCCTACAGACAGGGTAGAACTGCTCCATAGGTTTTCCAAGGCTATAAATCTTTAAGGAAGCAGACTGCCACATCTTTCTCCTACAGAGTGACTGGTGGGTTTGAACTGCTGACCTTTCAGTTAGCAGCCAAGCTCTTTAACCACTGTGCCAACAAGGCTTCTGCAGCCAGAGTTAGTGCCCTCTGAATGCAAATCTGTCTGTGGTGACACCTGATTAAAACTCCTCAAGGGACCCCCAGTGTTCTAAGATTAAAGTCCAGACTCATGACATCTGTTCATAAGGCCCTCCTCTACCTGGCCCACCAGCCTCCTCAGTCACTCTGGCTCCAGGCCTCCGGCCAGTGTGTGCTGTTCTGTCAATTCAGAGCTTTTGCTAGAGCCGATTCCTCTTCCAAAAAACATTCTCCTCCCTAGCCTCTTAACTCTACTCATCTTTATGATCTCAGCTTAGACATTCCTTGTCTGATAACCCTTCACTGGTAGGGGGTGGGTCTGGGTTGGGACACCCCACTCATTCCCATCATGGCACTGCATACCGTATAGGGTCTGTCTGCTGTGACCTCTTCAAGAATGCTGAAGGCAGGGACTTATATCTCCCTAATTCCTACAAGACAGTGTCTTCCCCTGCTTCAGACCAGAGGCCCCCTTAGGGCAAAGACTGTATTTTTCCCATCAGAAAGGGGGCTTCCTTTCGAACAGGAATTGTACCTATCCCGTCAGATAAAGGGTATCCTTGACTAAGACTATGTCTCCTCCATCAGGTAGGAGGCTCCCTCTGTTTAGAGACACTAGGGTGTCCTGAATACCAAGATCATTTCTCCTACCTACTCTGAATTATCCTCCACCCCTTCATCTCCCCTGGCCCTTCACATACTGTCTTCTTCACAGCTCTCATGGTCTGGGAGTGGGAAGGGTGGGAGATGAAAGGCAAAGAGCTACCCTTCCACCCCATGCCTAACTCTTGGCTAAGTCCTGCCTGGCCCCTCTCCCTGAATCTGGAGGTTAGGAAGGCCTGTTTCTTGTTCTTTCTGGAAAGAGTAAGTCTCCCCCAGTGACCATAGGCCAGCCCCACCAGACGACCAGGCCAAGCAACAGCAGGGGCTGAACAGCTCTCACCAAAGGCCAGCCAGCCTCCAAGAGGCTGGAGATCCCAGGCCTGGGCCAGGCAGGGCTCAAAGCCAGGCTGACAGGAGCTGGGGTTAGAACCTGCCTGAGTGAGCTGCCAGGGAGGAGCCTACCTAATTTCAGACCCAGCCAATCAGCCTCCCACCCAGGCATCTGGAGCCAGATCCTCTGTGTGTATGTGTGTGTGTGTGTGTGTGTGTGTTTCCGTCCCAGGCCATGTGGGTGGCTGAGAGCTTCTGGGTTATGACCTGGCCCTCCTAGCAAGCCCCTGGCGCCTTGTGGTCAGTTTCTCTTCTGACATGTAGTCAAGTTCACAGCTGGCCTGCTTCCTGCTTGGCCATTTTCACTTTCCCTCTCTAAGATCTGGGGCAAAGGGCCCCCACTCCTTCTCCCATCAGACTTAAATCTGTCTATGCGTGTGAACTTGCTGGATTTCTGTTAAAACTTCGTCCTTTTGTAGGGAAAAAATAAGACAGGGAGTCACTGAGTTGGACATTATATCTGGGTCCCTGCCCCATCAAACCAAAATTCATTGCTGTTGAGTTGATTCTGACTCATAGGGACCCTCGGGGACAGAGCAGAACTGCCCATAGGTTTCTCTAGGCTGTGATCTTTATGGGAGCAGATCCCCAAGGTCTTTTCTCTCTTGGAGCTGCTGGTAGGTTCAAGCCACCAACGTTTCGGTTAGTAATTGAGCGCTTAACCACTATGCCATCCGGGCTCCTACCCACCCCACACATACCCCTAAATACACTCAAACCATGTGTATTTCCAGAAAAGCTCAGTAGTACTGTTTTTCTTTCTTTGCTATTTAATGTTCATCATTTATGCTTTATGTGTAGGTTTTAGGAGGACCCAAGAAATGATTACACAGGATGCAAGGGGGACATGACAGGGAGGTGACAAGGGGCCTGGAGCTTGCAGCCCCCAGCTACGGGCCAAAAGCATTCCATTTCAGTCCAAAGGGAGAGAAGAGGGGCCCCAGAACCAAATACATGCTAAAACATACTTGCAACCCTTCCCCACGACTCCCTCTCTGTCCTCCCCCACAATCCCCTCTGTCCTCCCCCACGTCCACCCCGTTCCGTCCTCCCCAACCGCTGGGGAAGAAAATAAATAGACTCAGACTTTGTCACACTCCCAGGTCCACAGGTGAGGGGCCAGCAGGTGAATGTCTACTTCCAGTCACAGATGGTGATCAAAGAAATGCCATCTACATACAACACTCCTCGTCCCCCATACAGGGTTAGGAGAAACCTGGGGAGGGGAGGGGAGGCTGTTAGGACACCCTGCCCAGGGCTCTTTCATGCTAAATAGAAGGGAAGCCACACTCATTCCAACATCAAGCAAAACTGGACAGGGCTAGGAGGGAGTCGAAGTGCCAATGAGACCTCACGGCCCTTTCCGGCCCCAAGCTAGGGAGAAAAAGTCCTTTGCAGGGTCCTCTAAACTTGGGAGAGACCCCTACGGGCCAGTCTAACTCAGTTCCTTCTTTCTGTATTCTCACACTGGTCCATTTTTCTTCAATGCAACACGGATGAGCCTTCCCAGCCCAGCCAACTTGTGCACACAGGGGCGGGGGTGGGGGGTGGGGGGGCATTCCTCCACGTACAGGCCCTGGGAAGACAGACGCCAGCTCCAGCCTCAGCAGTCCTTGGCCCGCCAAACCGGGGGCGCAGACGGAGAACAGAGCTCAGCTCCCTCCCATGCTTCTCTGGCAGCTGCCCCTGGCAGGATCCGGTCGCAGCCCAAGAGAAGGAATCAGTGGAGGAAAGTAAGATTTCTCATCCTGTGTGTGTGTGTGTGTTGTAGGAATAGGTGGTGGAGGAACCTTAGTCCCTGACCCCATGGCTGATTCTAGGGGAAGATGCTGCCTGTGTTGGCTTTGGGTTTGGGCCAGGGCGGAAGTCCACCAACATACTGGAGCCACACTGACCCTTTCTCTATCCGAATACCACACTGAACGCCTAGAGGGGAGAAGCACCCCACTCCACAAACCCCAAACCTTAATCAGATCACGATGGATTAATGAACCAGGCCCTGGGCAAAGCATTCTGTTTCCATAGGAGTCAGGCCAGGCCTGTAGAGTGTGGAGGGCAGAGTCTACTGGGCTTAGAGACATTTCCCAGAGGGTCACCTAGCTCCCTGCCCCAAGACCTCAGGCAAACCTGAGGCCTGGACCCCTCTTCAGGGAGGAGAGTGCAAGCCCACAGTCACTTGGGTGGCTTTTGCAAAGTCTTTGCCCTTCTCTGGGTCTCACCATGCTGTATGTAAAATTGTGGTGGGGGGGCTAGACTTCAAACCCCTCCAGCTCTGAGGGGCCTCTGAGCTTCTTCCTTTTAGGCCAGAGGGGAGGACGAGGGGGTGCTGAGGAGGCCCTCACTCTCCAAGTTCACAGTGTAGAGTCCCAGCTTTGGCTCCTTGGCCCCTCCCTCTGAGTCTCTGGGGCCATTCACAGGCCCAACACCTTTGCTGGTGCGTGTGTCAGCCCCCAGATATGACACCAGCTAAGGGGAGGGGAGGCTGGCCCATCTAGGTTGGTGGAGAGAAGGGAGTAGAAGGCCTGAGGTGGTGACTGGGCAGGGTTAGGATGAAGTGGCAGGGGACTTCTTTCTCTGGAGAGGGCATTCAGTCAGATTCGAAGGGGCCACACTAGGAGCAGCAACAGGGCTGTGGGGGCCCGGGCTCCAAGCCCTGACAAGTGGAGCTCTGGTGGCCACCTGCCCAGGGCAGGCTCCATGGGGTTTGGCTGGAGCATCAGTTATCTGTCGAAATGTGGGGGCAGGACAGGGGCTCTGGTTGCCTCACACAGGGGACGTGGCCGTGGACTCGCTGCACAGGCTCTCAACAATGTCGGCTCGCTGGATGCGGCGCAGGGCGGCCAGGAGGGCGTCAAGTGTCGCGCTGTCCTGGGCGGCCCAGCTGGTGAGCAGGGCACGGACAGGGCAGGCCTCGTGGGTGAAGGAGTCTATGTGCTCGGGCTGGTAGCCCAGCTCGCCCGCCAGGTTCCTCCACGTGTCCCCCGCAGAGCCGTTGAGCAGTTTCTCCACCTCCTCCCGCTTGGCTGGGGGCAGGCTGCTGTAGAGGCCTCCGTCACCCTTGAGGGCTGCCAAGAACCCAGAAAGCATCAGGCCCTACTCCCTGCCCTGCTCCCATTGGGTCCCCAACAATGGCAGGGGTGGGGGTGGGGGCCTGGGGTATGGTCCTGAAAGGTCCAAGGCATTTCTGCTCCCAACCTGGGGAGGACCTAGAGCAGAGAGACGGGGGGCAGGGCTGTGGAGGGGCCTGGGGATGCTGACTCCTTGTCCCCCTCCTCATTCATGTCCACCACCACCACCCCCTCCAGCAATTAATCAAGGCTGAGGCAGAGGCACAGGACTCCTTAGTTCTAGACTGAACTGCAAATGTCCTGGAGCTGACCTGCAGGCCACTGATTAGGGTCCATAATTAACTACTTGTTCCCCAGAAGTCCAGGGCAGGAGGCTAATTGCAGCCACTTTGGGGGGATAATTAGCCCCCAGGGGGGACAATTAGCTTGATGAGTTGGGATGCTTCAACTTTTAAAAGCCTCTACTTTCCAAGTCAGCCCATAAGAAAAAACCAAAAATCCAAACCTACTGCCATCAAGTTGATTCTGACTCATAGCGACCTCCACTGGGCTTCCAAGGCAGTCAGTCCTTATGAAAGAAGATTGCCCTGTCTTCCTTCCTCAGAGTAGCTAGTGGGTTTGAACCGCCAGCCTTCTGGTTAACAGTCAAATGCTTTAGGTACTGCGCCACCTCTTATTCATTCCCTCTTATTCATTCCTTTCACGCAGCTTCTCCCATCCCTCCACACCAAGGCCTCCATCAGCCAGGCCCTCTGGCAGTCCTACATACGGTCTAATCTCAATCGCTCCTGTTCTCCCTGCCTCAGCATCTCTGCCCACCCTTGCTCCTCACCCTGGCCTGCAGCCGTCTGAGTGTGGGGCTGCTGGTCATGCAGGCTCTGGCTGTCCACAGAGATGCCGCTGTCACTGTGGAGTTTTTCGCCCTCGGGTGGGGGGCTCTGGTTCACCGGCCGGCTGTTGGCTCCTTGCTTGTTCTGCTTGCAGCTGTTCCACCTGGAGCCAGAGGACAGGCTGGTCTCAGGGGCGAGGCCTCACTGGCCAATGGGGCCAAGCCATCTGCTCTGATGGGTAGGAGCCCTCACAGTAGGCGCCAATTGTGACCGACCACAGTCATCTATAGTTCTTGCATGCGCCCCAGCCTACACCAACCAACCAACAGCTCTGTAGGGGCAGAAGGGCATTCAGGACTTGGTGCACACCAAAGGCCGTCAATAAATGTTTACGGAATAAATGGTGCATAAATAAATAACTTCCTAGGAATTCCACTTTTCACAATCTACCCTTCTAAAATGCTTCCACATGTGTGCAGGGATATATACAAGGATTTCCGCTGCTATTATAAGCAATGACAAAAAGCTGAAAGAAACCAAATGTCCATCAATCGGGGACTGGTTAAATCAATTATGATCCATCCATATTACTGAATGAGTGGTTGTAAATAATCAGATAATCTGTATGTCCTGAGGAAAGCTCTCCCAAGGGAGATTAAGTGAAAAGGTAAATTATAATATGTATAGTATGAGTCCATTGATTTTTTTAAACAACAAACCTGTGTTTATGTATAACTATAAAATATTTTATGTGTGTGTTTAAGAATGTCCAGAAAATAGTTGGGAAGGATCCATTCCAAATAGATTCCAGTGAAAAAGGGGTAGGATTTGGAGGATAAAAAGGACTTTCACTTTTTGCTTTACTGACATTGGTCTTGTTTTCATTTTCCCCAACAATCATGTGATACTTTGATGATTTTTGAAAAGAATGAAAAATACATTAAAAAGTTTTTAATGCCTTCCAGGCATTCTTGCCTGTCCTCGATTCCTGGAACCATGGAATCCCATGTGACATGGGGAGGTGAATCACATGTGCACACACAGGTAACTGTAGGTGAATGGGGCCCAGGGGGATGAGGGCACCGGATGAGGTGTCTCTGCACGCAGCTGGGGAAGCAGCCTGGGAACAGGGAGGTGCTAGAGCCAGGACAAAACCCTCCCCTTCCCCCCTCCTGCTAACCCATCAGGCCCTGGAATGGGGCAATTGATGGTTAGTGAGGATGAGCTTGGTTTGAGGTTGAGTTAAAAGGGTGCATGTGTTTCCAGGTCAAGGTTAGAGCAAAGTTCTCCTTGAGGGCAAAGTTCCCATGCTCTCTCCCCCATCCCCATCTTACCTCTTGAAGGCAATGTAGGCCACAAGACCCACAACCACAGCCGCCAGGATGGAGCAATAGACGGGGATGAGGTTGTCGGCGGTGCCTCTGGTCACCATGGGCTGGGAGCTGCCCATCACTGTGGTCACCACATCTGCCACAGTGCTGCCTAGGAGGTCTAGCTCCGGAGGTCCCTCTGGCTCCTGAGTGCTGGGAGCTGGGCTGTCCGAACCCTCTGGGGGCGTGGCCCGTGTGATCCAACGGCCAGGGATCTCTAGAAGAAAGAGCTACACGAGTGAGGTCCTACTCCACCCTACAGGACCCTCCACCCTGTTCTGATTCCCTGCAGTGCTTCTTCCGGAGCCCCTATCCTCGGTTCCAGGTGCTTATGGGGTGGGGATTGTGTGTACGACACCATGATGGAGAAGAGCAAGCAAGGGAGTCTGGGGACCTGGATCCACTTCAGACCTGTCCCTGAGTTGCTCTGTGACTTCTCTCAGGGCCTCAATTTCCCCATCTATAGAATGGTACTATTAAGAGAGATGGTCTCTAACTCCCTTCCACCTTGGGCATAGCTGTTATCCAAGAATTCTCTCCTGCCTCCCTTGGGGACCCAGAAGCCTGACATGGAGGGGAACACACAGAGAAGAGAGAGCGAGCCTCAGAAAGCATCAAGCTGGCTTCACTCTGAGAAATGTCAAAACTTCTCTGGCTCCAGGTTGCCCCATAACCCCAGTCACCTCTTCCTAAAGGAGGACTCAGTCTGGTCAAAGAGGTACTTGCCCCTGCTCCACCTCTCCGAGAGCTGGCACCCAGCCCTCCCTTCCCATCTCTGATGTTCCAGGCTCCAGGCTTGCTCAGGACAGGGTGGGGGTGCAGGGTAGCTCCCAGCTGGCTTGCTTTCCTCCAGCTAGTTCTTAGCCAGGGGTCAGCCTCTATTTCCTGCCTTGCCTGGCCTACCCAGAGAAGGCAATGTTGGGCAGACTGAACCCTCTGGGACAGGGAGCAGAATGCAGGTGGAGAGGGGAACTATAAAGAGGTACTGCCTACTGCCTCAGGGGAAGGGAGACTGTGCCTGGCCACCCACCTAGGCTCTCTCATGCCAGCTGGGCATTACCAGCCTACCTGGCAGGGGACCTAACCTCTCCTGGCACTAGTGGGTGGGATTTTCCATTCTGCCACCCAGCCAGGGGCAGTGCCAGGGGTTGTGGGCCCCGGACGACTGGGGGGTACCTGTCTGGGCAAAGCTGTCCACCTCATCCACCCTTGATCCCATGCCTGGAGCAGGGAGGTGAAGCAGACAGGACATGCTATCAGGGTAAAGAGGAGGGCATGGTGTTTTCCAGCTTGGTTCTGCCCAGCCCTCAGTTTGCCCACCCAAGTTGGAGTCAAACCTCTGCAGGGCCTCCTCAACTCAGGATGAAGATGCTTCAAAGGCTCCCCTTCTCAGCGCTTTCTGAGGAGTAAGGCCCCCAGATGAGAATCTGGAATCCATCTGGCTGCCAGTGGGGAGGGGGCTGCCATCTGCTGCCTGATCCCACCCCTCCTCCATCTCACTCCTGAGAGGACGTGGAAAGAGTGGGCAGGAAGTGGAGGGACATAGATTTGTCCCCTGGCAGCCACAGAAAGGGAGGGCAGTGGACTAAGGAGGGTCTTCTTTTCTCTACTAGGGGATTGAGCAAGCTGAGGGGCAGCCTGAGCACAGACCCTAACCCCAACCCCAAGGCTGGAGGTGCCTGTGTATATGGGGAGGTGTTTGTGAATCTAGCCATGAGAGAGATCAGAAAGAGCAGTGGGGCAGGGCTGAGAGAGAGCGGTGAGGGACAAAGACACTGAAGACAGCGCAGTCCAGGATGCACGCCCCTCGTCTCTCCAAACCCCTCTGATAGGGTGGGGTGGAGGGTGAGGATGAGATCCAGATGTGGCCATGTCCACCGGCATGCCAACCCTTTAAACCCTTGGCTGGTCCTGACAGCCGTTTCCGGAATGGGAGATGTCAGGCTTGGAGATGGAAAGAGGGACCAGGTTACTTCTCTTCAACCCACATTTCACTGGGGCAAGGGGTGACCCTTCTGCCCTGAGGGTAGGTGAGTCAGTATGTTGACACCAGAAATGTATACGCAGGAAACAACGTTGCACTGGGGGTGGGGTGGAGTGGGGAGAGCAACTAAACCAAGAATCAAATTCCATTTCCTGAAGTGGTCCCTCTGCCCCAGAGCTGAAAGGGGATCAGTGATAGGGATAAACATGCCCTTCAGGGTCCCGTCCTCTCTCAGGGCAGCTGGAAAAGCAGGGTGGCATCTGGTAGGAATCTGTGAATGCCCCAAAAGACAGAGCCTGCCCCTCCCCCAGTTGCAACCTTTCCCTGCTCTAACCTTGCCCTGACTAAATCCCCCACTGGCTGGTCCAGACTTGCCCATGAAACCATGCTGCATGCCTGCCTGCCGCCTGGCTGCTGAAACACCCTCCCTGATCAACCTGGCACCTGATGCCGCTTGCCTGTCTCCTGGCCCAGGGCCATCTCCACCGGAACCACGGTCCACACCCCCCAACTCACCCCAATGCAGGAAGCTTCACACACAAACCTGGCCTCAGTCCAGCTTAACAGCCGCTCCACCCCAAGCTCCTGGAGCTAGAGATCACGGGATGAGAGAAAGAGCCAAGGGTGTGGTGTAGCATCTATCAGACTGGAGGCTCCCCAAGGGCAGGGGATGCATCTCCCCCATCTGACTGGGGCTTGATTGAAGACAGAAGGCTGTGCTGCCTCCATCAGAATGGGAGAGCCCCAAAGATGGGGCTGTCTCCTCTCTCAGCTGGGGACCAAGTGCTGGGGGTGTGGTTGCCCATGGACAGAGGCTATCTCTCCTATTAGAATAAAGGAAGGAGGGGGCTGTCTTGCCTCCTCAGACTGAGAGTTCCCTGAGGGCTAGGTCCCCAAAAGGAAATAGCCAAATGGGTGATGGACCGGAAATGAAGGCACTGCCAAGCTCTCCCTGCAGTGGGAAAGCCCACCCACCTTCCCTGAGACAGATGTCACCAAAGACCAAAACATTTCGTCCCTGACAGAGTCCAATGGTACTTTTTCTCCCACCCCAAGAAGTGTCCGTTCCCAGCACAGCACATCCAGCCTCAATAGGCAGAGGAGGAGGGACTGCTCCAAATGTGGGAACAAAGTAGGGACTAGAACCTGAGAGCCTTCTGTGTGTACCCTGTCCTGTTCTCAGGCTTCCCAGCCCCACCCCTGTGCTCCCCTTCTTCCTCTGCCCCCAAAGCCCCTCCTCCCAATGACCTCCTTAGCCGTCCTGTGCCCAACTGCACCTTCACTTAATTGTAACAATGACTGTCTACCCCTCCTTCAGATGCCAAACACTGAAATGGGACAACCATGTAACCGGTGAGGACCAGAGACAAGAGAGACTCTTCCAATGTTACTCCTGTGGATACCATCTCAGGTCCCAGAGGGTAGATGAGTCACACAGCCATAATCCTCCCCCCGCCCCATGAACTTAGACCAGGCCTCAGATCCAATAGGCTCCATCTTCTATGGGTCCTCCAGCACCTTTTCCAGTTCAGAAAGCCTGCTTCAAGGATCAAACATGTCCTGCTCTGGCCAGAAATACCCTAGACCATGGTGGCCACCTTATTGCCTGTCTAACCAATTGCTACCTGGCAGTCAGATGAATAATGTCCTAGGAGATGAGTTACAATGTAGTAACTGCAGCCTGGGAGGGTAATAAAGCCTTGGAATCGCTGAGGCCATAGAAGGATATGATGAAAGGGAGTCTTTAGTGACAAAAGGATCAAGAACTATTCCCTCCGTGACCCAGAAATAGACTGAGGCTCAGGGAGGGTGTTTGCTGGCTGCGGCAGCTTACTTCCCATCGTCCAGGGGGCACCCTTCCTCACAGCCCCAGTCCCGGAAGGACACAGTGGCCACCCAGCTGCGCTCACCCTCGCACTCCGCGTCAGCCCAACGCGTGCACTCGCGCAGCTGGCGCTCAGTGTCCTCACACACCGTGCAGGGGAGGCACGGGTCCACGTGGTTGGCCTCATCGGAGTACGTGCCATCGGGGCACTCCTCGCACACAGTGTTCTGCTTGTCCTGGCACGAGTACACGAGGCCCGAGCCCGCCTCGCACACTTGGCATGCCTCGCAGCGACCTGTCGTCTCGTCCTGATAGTAGCCATAGGCGCAGCGGCATACAGCGTCGTCCGCCTCCACGCATGGCGCTGACATGCTCTGCAGGCCGACGCACTCGGTGCAGGGCTTGCACGGCTCGGTGGCACTCACTACATCGGAGAAGGTCACGCCTGAGGGCAGAGGGACAAGTGAGGAAGCAATGGGCCCCAAATTTAGCCACTTGCCCATGGGGCACTGCTACCTGGGATTCCAGTGAGCCCCTCTGCAGGGGCTGGAGGCCCCCTCTCTGTGCCTCCTCCTCCACCAGGGTGCTGATTACTGGCTCAATTTCACCCCATCACTGATTCCCACTCTCTTCCCAAGGGTCCCTCATTCCTGTGACTGCCACCTGGGGAGGGAGGAATGGGGTCTGGAGCACCAGCCCTAAAGCTCCATGGGGTAGCCCAGCTGGTGCTGGCAAATTTTCCAGCGGATTCCCTGGTGAGTTCCCAGGCTTGTACTCTTGTTCCCAGCATGATTAAGTTATAATCTGAGCGTGGTTCCCACCCAGCCCTCCCCTTGGGCCAGAGCTGGGCTGTGAACCCAGCCCATGCACTGCCAACCTTCCACCAGGGAGCCTCCCTGCCTCAGCTGCCCTTCCATTCCTCCTGAACAGGTGGTGGTGGTGGGGGTTTCAGATGTGGACTGAATGGGAGTAACTAGGATAATAGGGCAGAACTTCCCACCCATGGAGTTCCCCTAAGCTGCTGAAGGGCTTGGCTCTTGAGGGTGGGGACTGAACTCTAGGCAAGCAAATTCAAGTAGAGCAGGAAGGGCTAAAGCTAGAAAGTAAGAAGGACTTGTGTATACAGTCCTCTTCCCTTTCAACAGGAGCTCTGGTAGCAGAGTGCCTAAGGCATTTGACTGCTCACCAGAAGGCTGGCGGTTCAAACCCACCAGCCACTCCTAGGAAGGAGGGTTGGGCAATCTACTTCGTAGTGATAACGCCTCGGAAACCCAAGGAGGGGTTGCTATGAGTTGGACGACTGGACTGGCAGTGAATGACAGCCCTGTCAACTGACCAATGAGGACATTTCCAAGCTCGCTCTTCACTGCAAACCAAACCAACCTCACTGCCGTGGAGTCAGAAGGGAGGAGGCACAGAGCCAGAGCATCATCCCTTCCAGCCCAAGGTGGAGAAGCCCATACATGCCAGCCTAAGTCCAAGAGGACACATCCTTGCTCCCAAAGGCAGGAAGATCATGGTTTTAGGAACCTGAGAACCAGAGAAGGAGGGATTGCTCAGAATGTGGGAACAGAAGGAGAGACTAGGGCCCCATTGGAGGGAAAATTGAAGCCTGCTGTGGAGTCCAGTCTCTACACTCTCTGAAGTATCAAGAAGCTGGATGGAGCAGGGTCATTATCTTGTGTTGGGGGAGCAAAGAAGGGAGAAAGGGAGGGGAAGAGAAGAAAAGACAGAGGGAAAAGGGCCTGGAGGGAGACATCAGGTTCCTGACTCAGTTCACAGAGGGACTCTGGTGCTTCTTTTCCTGATGAGCAGGCAAGTCGGGATTCAGATCTGATTTCATCACTTAGCTGTGTGACTCTGGGTGTTTTACTGAGGCTCTCTGAACTTCATTTTCTTCATCTGTAAAATAGGGAATACTATCTCCATGCACAGGGTTGTGGTGAGCCATAAATGAAATCTGTTGTGCAAAGCACTTGGTGCACAGCAGGGTGTCTATAAAAGTTGGGCCCCGAGGACTGGGCAGTGATAGAGTCAGACAGCGGAAAGGACTTGCAGACACAAACAGCCGAGGTAGGTCCATACAAACAAGAGTGTCCTATCTGGCTGTCATGGTGTGGGCAGGGGGTGGGTCTGGTCACACTTGGAGGGAAGGGGGAACCCTGCCCATGGGAAAGTCCAGAAAATTAGCAGAAAACTCCTGAGAGAGGGTTTTAAGGGGTGTGAAAAATGTGGTCTTTTTTGGCAGAGAATGAAAGGCAGGAGCTTAATGGGTTTCCTTGTGGAAACATTTTGAGGATGGAGGGAAGTCTGCTGGGGTCTCTATCTCATAAAGTGGGCTCGTAAAGGTGGCCTGTTAACGCAGCTGGGGCATGCAGGAAGGAGTCTTGCATGGGCCTCTGAGCTGCTGCTGCTCCTGTCATTCCTCAGGGCTCCCCTCCCCTTCCCCAGAGATGCTGGGGCTCCCCCCTCCCAGGCTGCTCCACGTCCCCCTCAGACCCTTTGACAGATTCAAGCTCCAGGCAGGAGAAGTGGTGGCCAGGAGTCTATGAAGTGACATAGGTAGGTGCCAGGGTGCAATGGTTGACCCACCTCGGGCCAAGGCAGGTGACTGGATGGCAAGGAAGCAGCGCCTTCCTACCCAGGCCTCCCTCTGCTGGGGGAGGGGATGGCTGGGGTCACAGAATTCACAGGCACAGAGGGAAAACTGTGTGTTAGGGGAACACACAGAAAGTTGCCTGAAGTGTTGCTAGGCTGGGTGGTAGTGAGATGGGGGCACACTGACAAGTTGGTCTAGGCAGGCAGGTGGGTTCCCAGCCTTGTACCCTTGTTCCCACATGGTTAAAGAATAATCTGAGTATAGTTCCCACCTAGCTCTCCAGGTAGGCATTGATGCCAGGTGGAAGGCAGGATCTGACTGTCTGCAATGGGAAAAGGTTTCTGGGGAGATTCAGGAAAAGGGTACTGAGCCCACAGTCTGAAGGTAGCAACTGACAACTGGGGGCATCCCACAGGGACAGAGGTTCCTGACTCAAAAACACACAGTATTCAGAGTAGCAACTGGGGTCTTAAAAGCTTGCAAGTGGCCATTTAGATGCAATGATGGGTCTCTCCTCGTCCAGAGCAAAGAATAGTGAAGAAAACTAAAGACGTGTGGAAATAATTAGTCCAAGGGATTAGTAGACCATGTGATCCTCAGCCTATATGACCATGAGACCAGAAGAACTAGATGGTGCCCAGCTACCATTGTCAACAACTTGGAGGGGAATCAGTGCAGGAGATCCTGGATAGAGTGGGAGAACAATGTAGAACAAAACTCAAAATCATGAGAAAAAAAAAAAAAAGACCAGGTTTGGTAGAGCCTGGTGAGACCCCTGAGACTATGGCCCCTAGTCACTCTTCAGGTTGCGTCCAGCCAAACAGACGGGCAGGTGGGGTGAACATTTACATGAGGTAGATACACTCTTTGGAACAATCATGGGAGAACACAAGGGCAGTGTTGTACAGGGAGATAGCTGAGGATGGGAGGTGGGGAGAGTTCATGGGAGGGAAGGACACAGGGAAGAGGTAACTATGAGGAGAAAATGGGAAGAGAACTGTTACATTGTGGGGAATTGCAGTCAGTGTCATGAAACAAAATGTGTATGAACTGCTGTATGGAAAAGAAATTTGCTATGTAAACTTTCACCCAAATCACAATAAAAATTAAAACAAAACAAAACAAAATCTTTAAAAACAAAAAACACCACCACAGAATGCAGACCCCAGACAAGGCCTCCTTCATCCACCTGGAAGATAGACTTTTCTCCTCTTCTGAGGGGAATCCAGACAGGAGTGGCCATGGCTCCCCACACCCCTCCCCATCTGATATTACCCTAGCACCCTAATAGTATTCCAACCCCCATTCCTGCTGCCTCAGAGAAAGCTTTGCTTCCTTGGACAAAGCTGAAGAATAGTTGGCCTGGGGGGAGGGGCAGCCACACCAGCCCCAGGATCCCCCAAGGTCAGTCTCCAGGGCAGCCCAGATTTGATCCTTTTCCCCCGCCCTCAAACACACTGAGGGTAAGTGGCAAGCCATTGATTTTGCAGTGAGGAAGATATTTTTAGCCGCTGGTTTTAGCATCAGCTACTCCTTGCCATCCAGCCACACTCTTCTACCAGGCCTCTCTGCTTGGGGGTTTCGAGGGGGCACCCACTGGGGATCCCCAACCAAAGTCCTCTCCTTCCTCTCCTTCATCCATTCCCAACTTTTCCTCTCTGCTTCCTACACTGGGCCAGTCCCACTTCTGATGCCCATGCAATAGTGGGCAGGGGACCCTGGATATGCTTCTCCCCAAGCCCTAACTCCCCTCCTACCCCTGCCCCCACCTCACCTCCCCATACTCACTGTCCAGGCAGGGCTCACACACAGTCTGGTTGACTCCGCAGGGCAGGGCCACACCCTCGCCCAGGTTGCAGGCTTTGCAGCACTCACCGCTGTGGGTGTACAAGCCTGTGGAACATGCCTCCTTGGCCCCGCTGAGGGACACCTGGGGTAGGGGGAGATCAGAGGGTCAGACTGTCTAGAGAAAGGAGAGGCGGTGCCTTCCAAGGGATCAAACACCTCCTTCTCATGCTTTCTATTGGAACCACCTGGACTGAGATGAGCTCAGCAGGGAGGCATGAGACACATCAAAGCTGCCACGAAAGACAGTGGAGGGACAGTGTGTCCCCACAGGCTGCTGGGGATGTGAGGTCAGGGCCCCGGATGCTGACTTTCCACAAAGCTCATCTGGGGTATGGCAACTCCTGGAATCCCAAGGACACATCACCTGGAGAAGGGGGCCTCAGACCCCTCAGAGGCCTTTGAGCAAGGACATCATGAACAGTTAGTCAGGTTGCAGCTTGCACAGGGCCCCCAGCCAAGGGGGGAGACTTGGAGCTGAAATCCAACCATGCTTCACTGGCTAAGCTGCGGGCCTGAAGAGTGGCATCACTCAGAGGGGGTGTCTTCTTCTAACTCACACAAAGGCTACCAGGGCCTTACTATACTAGGTTAAATATCAAATGGGAGCCGTTTGTACCCAGGAGCAGAAGGCAGAGGGTGGAAGCTTGGGTTTGAATCTTGACTCTGCACTGGGCACTGGGGCTTCTGGACTGCCCTGCCTCCCCTCTCTGAGTCTCCATCTCTGTGCAGAGAGATGTCGATGATAGCTTGGTGCCAAGGCAGGTGACCACCCAATGGGCAAGAGTCTGGCGCCATGAGAGGGAGAAAGGGATGCCTGTTATCAGTGATGAGGACGGCTGTTCTCACCACTCAGCAGCCTTGCTCCACCAGGGTTTGATTTCCGGCCACCAGCTCTCCCCTCTTACCCCGCCCCCCCTCCCCCCCTCCCAGCCACGGAGAACAGTGCTGGAACCAGGGGAAAGGGGAGTCAGATTCCTGCCACTAAAGCATCTTTGCTCAGGGACTGAACAATTTAACACCAGATGCCCTAGGGGGAGGGGCTGCTGAAGGCTTGCTTATATTTCTGTTCTTTTTTCTTTTTTAAAAATCTTAATGTCTAATAAAACTCCAAAGCCTGATATGTTAGACTTATACCAGACCATGCAGTCCCCATTTGATGCAAAGTATGAGCTCTTGGGTTGTGGAGCCAGAGGGGAGCTTTCCAAGGTCATTTGGAGCATTCTCCGGCTTCCACGTTGGCCAGATCACGGCCAAGATATTTCCCTCCCTCCAGTCCTTTAAAATATTCTGAGGTCTCACTAGAGTTTGGCAGGGAGGGAAGACAAGAGACAGGGGGACGGACAGGTTTGATCCTTCTTGGATCAAGCTTTGTGCTCCTCATGAGACCCGTGACCAGGGACAGCCCAGGAGAAGGAAGTTTGGGCACTGTCAGCATCTCCTCCCAGGTGGCAGCAGCACACAGTGTGGAAACATCTGCAGACCAGGAGCCTCCTGGATCCCAGATACAGGCTTTCCTCCAGGAGGCAAGGTTCCAGAGGGATCTGTTCTGATTTCTTTTTGTCCTTTAGGGCTCTGCTCAAATGTCACTTCCTCGGGAAGATGATCCTGTCGGCCCCATCCCTCCAAATTAGGTAGAGATGCCCTGTTACCCTGGGTGGCACAAATGGTTAATGTGCCTGGCAGCTAACCTAACAGTCGACAATTTGAGTCCATCCAGCGGTCCCTCAGAAGAAAGGCCTGCCAATCTACTTTCCAAAGATCAGCCATTGAAAACCTTATGGGTCACAGTTCTACTCTGACACACATGGGGTCACCATGGGTGAAAAATCAACTCAATGGCAACTGGTCACTGGCCTGTTACACCTCCCCTCACTGTCCTTTTCCTGATACTTACATGACTCCCCTGCTAGACTGTCTGCTCCCTGACAGCAGGGGCTGTGGTTGCCCTGGCGCCAGGCACAGTATCAGGCACATAGCAAGGACCCAACATGTATATTTATGGAATTTAAGAACACAGCAATACCGTATGACCTCAGCTAACCAGAACTCGGGGGAAATGACTCTCTCTAGATAGCAGAGCTTCCTGAGACAAGGAAGGGCTTGCTCCTTTAATCCCCATGTTTTTCATTTTAATGACAGTTACTGTACTCTTGTCTGCTTCTAGAATATACCTTTCACAGTTTCCCCGTGACTCAAGGACTCACTATTTATTTTGGGTTGCAATGCCCAGAATATGTTCTTTATGCCAAACTACCACACTTTTGTCTGTTTGAGTTCTCCTGTCAGCTTTTTTTATAGTGTTTCTGTCTCCTGCCTTCCTGTCAAGGTTTCAGTTGTCCATTCTTGCTGCTTCCATGGTATGGCTGGCAGCAGCCTCTCCCCCACGGTTCTAATCGATTGAGTCTCATTGAATCTTTTTTTTGTTTGTTTGTTTTCGTATTTAACTCCCAATTTTATATACAAGGAAACTGAGGCACACAGAAGTTAACACCTTGCCCAAGGTCACACAAGTGTCAGAACCAGGAATCAAACCCAGGTGGTGTGGCTCACACTTTGGATCTCACTGAATCTTGAGACACTATGTAACTAGCCTTGGTAGAAAGGTGTGTAAAGTGAGTGCACGTAGGAACTGATTTGGCTGGGGGGGGGCAGATTCTCTGAGAAAAACGTGTGCGCTGTTGTGCCTCCCTCCTCAGTTGCCTGTGTGGCTCTGAATCTTGGCTCATTACGTATGAGCTGAGTTAGTTGAGGTCAATAGAGGCCTGGGCTCTGGATAGCTGAGGGGGTCTGTCTATGGTACTCCTGGGTAGGATGGCAGACTTGTGCAAGTCTCTTTTCCTAGAAGCCTGTGGTCCTCTCTTTTCTGCCAACTCTTGCATTTGCAGCTGGGGACACATACTTAGTAACCATGTGTTTCTGTGCTTGTTTTGTTTGTCCTAGTTCATATAAAATGCCAACTCTGCTACTTAATATTATGTTAAACCAAAAAAGAAAAAAACAACCAAACAAACCCACTGCCATTGAGTTGATTCAGACTCCTAGCATCCCTACAGGACAGAATAGAACTGCCCCTACAGGGTTTCCAAGGCTGTAAATGTTTATGGAAGCAGACTCATCTTTCTCCCATGGAGCAGCTGGTGAATTCAAACAGCCAACTTTTTGGTTAGCAGCTGAGTGCTTTAACCATGTGCCTCAAGAGGTCCTCAACGGTATGTTGCTCTGCGTAATGACTTTCTCTGTCTAAAGCTCAGTTTTCCCAACTAAAAACATCTGGGTTGATAACACCTGACAGAGTTGCTGTGAAAATGAAATGAAATCACTTATGCAAATATGCCTGGTATATAGTAAGGATTTTATAAATGTTAGTTATTGTGGAAGGAAGACGGGGCAATCTACTTCTGTAAAGATTTACCATCTTGGAAACCCAGTGGGGGTCGCTGTGAGTCGTAATCGACTGGATGGTAGTGGGTTTGTCTTTTGGCTTATCAAAAAACTGTCATGTCTTAGGAAGAGTGAGCAGCTGACCAGGGTGGGAGGTAGTAAAAGGAGAGAGGTGAGCCTTCTCTAAAGAGAGGACACCAACTAAGTGCAGGGGGCATGTTAGACATTCAGAAAGTGTTACCTGCCAGGAAGAGTGTAAAGAAGGTACCAAAGGAGGATGGGAAATTGCTTTCACTAATTCAACAACTATTTAGTGAGCACTGAGTGTTTCCAATGAACCATGGCCCCTGACTTCTGTGTGTGTGTGTATGTCTGTGTTACAGTCCCATGAGGGAGCAGGACAAGCTAAAATGCTGAGGGGGAAAGACATGAGGGGTGGCTTCCAACCCCTCTTTGACAGATGGGGAACACGAAGTCAGAGAGGTCACTCAGCCAATGGGCTGGACTGGTGGCCTTGCCACAGCTTCTCCCAGGCCCAAACCAGATCCAAAATGACCGATTCACCAAAATGACAGACACATCTGCCCAACATTTGCCTTTATTACACTTAGTCACTTCAAATTTGACAGAATGATTTCATTCCTTTTTCAAGAATGTTTGCAATCTTTACTTTAACCATATTTAGACTCCCAAGGCTTTTTAAGGAACTAAGTGGGAACATTAGATAAATTGACTATTAAGAATGTTAAATTCCTCATGATTGAACAAAATAGAAAAACACACCAAAATAGTTGAAAGGATTTGAGAAGAACTGTATGAATGCTTTGACGTGGTGAGTCCCAGTCATTCACCATGGACAGCTTCAGCAAAGGTTCCTTAGCGGAATCAAGCAGAGCCTCCTCAATGGAGCTGTTCGTTTGTTTGTTTGCTTTTCAAATATCTGGAAGATCTTTTGAGGTCAATGCAAAGCCGGGGAAGGCACTGGCACATGCCCCCTCCCCCTTTACAGGCTGAGTTGGGGGGTGGGAGACACCACCCAGCTGCAGTAGTTTGATGCTGCTTGCAGACTTGGGGCTGGGCAGGGGCTCTGTGTGAGGGCAAAGGGGCTCAGATTCCAAATCTGTGGTGAAGAGGGACTAGTGCACAGATCTAATATCCTGGGCCAGTGGGGATTCAGGGTCACATGGTTCTCATTGATGGTGCAGGGGGCAGCTTGGCATACAGAGGAAAGAGAGGACTCCTAGCCAAGCGTCCTGGGTTCCACCAAGAGTGCCACTACTTACTCACTGGGGGAGTTGGGAGCCTGGGAGGTCCAGCTTCCTCAACTGTAAGATAGGAATAACTTGATTTACTCTCCCGGGATCATCTAAGGATTCACCCAAGAGAAAGTACCCAGGAAGGTGCGTCACACATAGTAGGCACGTGGCACATAGTAGTAGCTTCGCACCCCGGTCCCCAAGGGAACAAGCGAGGGGCAGGGCTGGGTTGGGCTGGTCCAGGGGGTGGGGGCCCTTCCCTGCCGGAGCCGCCTCCCCCCAGCCAGGTCGCTCCAGCCCGCCCATTTGCTGCCTTCTCTGCACCCCTATTAGGCGCATTAGCCAGCCAGGCGGCTCCGGTTACAGACGTCTGAATGACAAAGTGCCTCCATTACCGGCGCGGCCGGCCAGCCAACCCGCCGGGACGCGCTCTGGTTTCAGCACTCTCCCGCCGCGGCCCAGGAAGAAAGTCGGACCGCGGTGGTGAGCAGAGCCGGCAGGCACTGCCGCCGGCGTCGGGGCGGAGGCGACAGCGGAGGGGCTGCGGGCGGGAGGTTCTACGCGGCAGCCACTTCCCCAAGCCCCCAGGCCCTACACGCCCAGCTCGTGCGCCTCCTGGCCTCTTCCCTGCGCGGGGACGCTCTCTCCTCCGCCCCCTCGATATCCGCGCTGCTGGCCGCCCACTTCCCCTCCCCACCCCGGGCGAGGAGCCGCTCGCTCCGCGCGGCGGCGTTAGTCAGCAAAGGAACCCGCGGTCACTCCCAAAGCTCGGGACGAAGCCACAGGTACTGACAGCTCCAGGGGTCCGGAGCTGAGTTTGAGGGATGGCGCCAGGGCCCCGAGAGGGTCTCTGCTACCCGGTCCCCTTATTCCACTGCCGGCTGACTCTGCGGATGGTGTCAGCCCTGCCCCCGCCCCACTCGCCGCTCTTTACCGCGAATTGGGGCGCCCTTAGGAGCTGGGGTAAGGACCGAGCTGGGAACCAGTTGTGGGAGAGTCTGTGTCTCTGCTCCAGCTTACTTGTCGGATCTTGACCCAGTCTTTTAAACCCTCAGGGCCTCAGTTTCCTCATCTCTAAACTGGGGACTGGGGGCGCAATGCTCAGATAAGAGATGACGGTGGCCGGGAGGGTGAGAACGCCTGTTCCATCGCCAGAGCTTCCTGGGCAATTAGGTCATGGCCATCTATTAGGTCACATTTCCTGAAAATCGGGTCAGAGCTACTGGAAGGGCTCAGACGTTAGGAGAAACGCTGCCCTTTGCCAAATCGGTGCCTCCGGTCACTGCCGGACAGAATACCAGGCATTCACAGAACGCCGGGTGAGACCCATACTGGATCTCGCCCCTTCGAGGCGCCGGAGCTGCACGCGCGCTGTTCAATTAGCGAAACTTCCTGGGGGGCTGCGCGCAGACCTCGACGCGCACAGCTGCGGAGCGCACTTGCCCCGTTCCGTAGCGCCCCCTGCGGGCCGCTTCCCGCTAGCGCGGCATGGTCTGTGCGCAGCCGGAACGGTACCTTCCTGGTGCGCCCCGCGTTATGAGACGTGGCTGCCGCCAGACCCGACTGACTGATCCCGGCTCCATTGCTCCCGGTCCGCTGCGCTCCTTCTCACTGCCAGCACTCGCGCGTCGGAGGAGCCTACCTGCCTGCCTGCCTAGCGGAGCCAGAGAGCGGGTTCTCCCCTGCGAAGTGGGCGCGTCGCTCCCAGCCCAGCTCCCAAGCCGCAACTCCCGGACTGGGCGAGGCCGCGGGAGAGGCGCGGGAACCGTTCCCAGAGCGCCCCGGTGTCGGTGCCTCTTCTCTCTCTCCTCGTACGCCCATCCCTCGGCGAGCAGGCGGGGGCCCCCGACTGCTTTAGGGTCCACCTCTTTCTCGCCCCGGATTCTTTTTGCTTCCCCCTCTACCTTCCTCGCCGTCGGACCTTTCCGCAGACCCTCACCCACCTATACTCCCTCCTCTACTGCCCTTCTGCTCCCGAACCTCTTCCTTCGACGCCCCTCCCCCTCATTGTCTGGCCAGTCCCCATTGTCCGATGGCCGCTTCCCTCGGCCTCTAGTCCCTCCAACCTCCTCCCTCATTGTTCCATCCCTTCGTCTCCAGCTCCCCGCCCGGCCCCTCATATCTCCAAACTCCGTCCCAGTCGCTCTCCTGTCGCCTCGGTTCCGTCCCACGACCCCACAGTCTCCTCGAGATCCAGACATTCAAGCACCCTCTTCCGAAGAACCCAGGCATCCGAGAGCCCCATGACTTCCTGCTTAAAGACCCCTCCCAGCTCTCCCTCGCATATCTCCGCCGTACCCGAGGATCTGCATCCGTGTGCCCCTATTACCCACATCTTTACCCTGGAACCCAAGGTCTGCGCTCCGAGAACCCCCGACGCTCCTCTGCGGATCCCGGCATCGGAGTCCCTTTCCTGCCCTCTACCCCCGCCCTAGCATCTAGGACCTCAATACTCTATTTCTGCCTCCAGGGTGGCGGCGCCCGGCTCGCCTTGGAGTTCCGATCCCGGGGAAGGAAGCGGACTCCTCTCCGGCTAACACTCACCCCCAGGAGTAGAAGCAGGAGCAGCAGCAGCAGGCGTGGTTCATCCATGGCACGGCCGGCGGCACCTGCCCCCATCGCCAGTCTTCAGCGGCCGCGCTCCGCTGCCAGCTCCGCCCGCTCCGCGGACCGATAGGGCTGCGCTGCGCTGCGCTCCAGCGCCCGCCGCCCGCCGGAGCTGGCCGCTGC